GGATGGGTCCTATATACTAGTTAATGCCAAGTCTACAGGAGTTAATGTCTACGTCTATCTTCGGATGTTCTCCTTAGAACTAGATTCATTGAAGAGTAACTAGAACAAAAACAGCAGACATTTTACGGCGGACTCTTACCTCCTTCAAAACGGATCGAACTATCACAGTTTTCTATCCATGGCGTAGATATTGGCGATTTGAAGACCAGCTTCCGGTGTAGTCCCTTCCAACTCAACCAAACCTTCCATATCGCCAATGTTAAGTAATCCTACGACAACAACACTGACCTGTGCATCGAGCTTCATCGGACGTAAAGTGGCGATGCTGCGGCAGTTCTGAGGTCGTCAATGACTGTGGCCTTGCGAGTTGTGATTTCAGAAAAAGGAAAGCACATGGAGGGTATCGCCTTTTGTGCTTCCCAATCTCACTGCTACACTCCTTATCCCTGAGACGGAGTAGGCGTGGCTTTTGAGCATGGCATAGGACGGGTTACTCGTGAGATGCTTCAATTTGAAACAGCTGCCATCTTGTTCTGCAGACATGATTACGACTGTTGCAAAATGAAAATATCTCACGAAAACCTGGGCCGCCGCCACTTTAGAATTAAGTGTGCAGCCACGCCTACCCGATCTCAGGGATTTCGAGTATACTTCCATTCAGTGGTAATTAGGTGCGGTTATGGTCTATGCTGTAGGACCCAAAATATACACATACATACATGTACAATATACAGTGAACTCATTTGCCACACAAGTTCTGGGCGCAGTTCGGCGACGAGGGGGAAAGCATTTTGCACTTTTGCTACTTCCCATCAACGTGTCGACCCATCTAGAGAGCTTTTTCGTGAGTTGACAGATGTCATTAGTGTAGCTCGATCTGCTCTAGCTTCACAGGACCTTACATATTTCATCATCAGTATGCAAACTGGTACTAGTAGAGCAATGAAAGTGCGAAACGCCCCCCCCCCCTGCTGCCAAATTGTGCCCATTTTCTGTGTATCCTCAGGCAGCGGACCCACGAAGGTTCATATTTCTGAGAGACAACGCTTAGCCATGTTGAAATAAGTCCTCTCTCAGAGCGCTCTATAGCAATTCCTGGCACAGCTTAAAAAGTTGAAGTCAATCCGCAACCCCGGGATTTGGTATCAGATCATATAAACTTGAACGGATAAAATTCTCGCTTTACATCAATCTCTTTTAGTTATTCGGCACGCAGTTTACTTCCACTCAGAATCGTAGCGGCTTATTAAATGCGAGGTGGGCTATGCAGTGACCTGCTGGGCCAGCCGGGGTACATGTTAGTCTCTTATCTTCCCAGACGAATCTGGTATCTTGCGGCGCCGGGGGGTAGAAGGCTCGGTTGGCCACAATCCGAGATTCGATTCTCGGACCGCGCCGGGGGAGCGGAACACTTGCCTCTGCACCATCCTCCAGTTCGTATACCTTGACAGACCTTTCTCAGAATTTTCGATCGAGGTACCTTAGATTTCTTGTTGCAGCGCGCCGTTTAAGATTTATTTTGAAATGTTGAGAGGAAAAAAGCTCTCGCCGTTGACTGGTCCCTTTCTGGGAAGCAGCAAGCCTTACATACAGAAACCTAGTGACTCTTCGACTTGACCAATATGATGATTTGAGGGGCTTACAGTTGTAAAATGTATTGCTTTTAAGTGTAGTTAAATATGTAATCAGCGTGCAGCATCGATTTTTCCCTACCGCAGCCGCGACAACTTAACCTGTACCCACTTCTGAGTGAAGAATTTAGTGTACAGAAGCCGCTATTCTTACTCGGTGCTTTGTTGAAAACGTCAGCTCCATTGAGAAACATTCCTTCATCATTAAGGGCTTTTCACTTGTTCTTTCGCTCCATTAAGCCAGTCTCCGATATACAATTTAGGTCAGCGTCTTTGGACGAATAAATCTGAGATGCGGATAAAAAGTTGTTTTCCTTTCATCTCGCTCTTTTCAATTTTTATCGACTTAATTCCAGCTCTGTGCATGTCCAATCGGATCTCCAGCTCGAGGATGTGATCCAATGCCGTTTATACTTTGGCATGACCTCATTGTTAATGGTTGCCCTAACGTCACACTAAACAGCCGTGATCCTGCACAAAAAGTACACCGTTGGTTCAGACGAGTAAGTATTCATATGATATTCTTTACAGTATTCTTGAATATATTCAATTGAGTGCGTGGCGATGGTTTCTATTTTGGGATGGGGTGCTTGCTTTGTTTTATTCGAGAATCGCGATGCTTCTACAACCTGTGTCCGATTCATACAATAGCTTCGCTCGCTAGGCTGCCAATTGGAAATTCTTTGCCATTGCAGTCCACACTGTTCTTGGCTGACGCACGCACTTCACCCGGTCGGAAAGGCCAGGCATTTGAGAGTCTTGAGGGATTCTCTGTTTGTAACATTCCATATTCTCTTGAAGGCATTTTCTATGTTATATGGACTGGCCGAGAATGGGCGGAGACTAATAACTACTGAACCTTCCTCATTCGAGCCCACCTAAAATTCACTGTGTTCGAAAGAGGCGTGGCGCACCAAGAAAAGCAGGAAAGTCATCACTCACCGCCCATCCGGTTGCCAATGTATCTTTGGATCACTACATTTCCAAGGATGCTATGAAGTTAGGACTTTTTTTCTAACTTTTTTTCGTCAAGTAGTACAGGAAAAAGACCAGTCCAAAACCGGTTCTTATCATAAAAGTCATTACCTGTGCTCATTCCAGCGGTTCTCTTATGCAGCAGCCGCATGTTGCCGTGACACACCAACATATCCAATACCTACACTTTATTTTCTGGGTTTTATTGTACTGTAAACCTAGTTCACCGAAATATAGCACCCTCAAGAAGCCCAATTCGGCAACGAGGGACATTTCGCAGTTCCCTGCTTCAGCAGTTCCAGTTTACGAGTCTCACACTGGTGCAACCCGTGGATTCTTTTGAAACTGGACCACGCTTTCCAGGACATGGACGGGGAGGATGGTGTTTGTCTGGTATTCGATCGCTTTGTGAAAATTGACAGTTGATCTCTAAACGCTTCGTCTGGTATCATTCCATGACGTCACAATATTTCACAGCTTGCACCTGATAACTCGAACCGTCAATGGGAACTGGCGGATGTGCAAAGTGCACCCCCTTTGCCAAAATGCTCCTCTCAAGATACGAAAAAATCAAAAGTCAAGAATTTTCTCGTAGTCACCGTTGCCCGATCCGCTCTAGCCAGAGGAAGAGGGCGTCTTGTGGGCACGTTGCAGGGAAAGAGATCCGACGCAGCAGTAGGCGCTCGGTGACACCATTGTATTTGGAAAACTAGATTCGATATGATCCAGCTCAGTGGACCGTGATGGGCTCTGCTACCTCAATATGCCCTCGAAGTAGTGAATCTTAAGAGAAACCAGCTTTTGCACTATAGAACACGGATCTGCTTCATTTTGCACTGTAGCGCTTCCTTTAAAATCTCATTCTTTTCATGTTTAACAATGGAGCGTCAGCAGTTGGAACCCTGAAAATTAATGATATGCGAATCGCATTGCATTTTCATTCCTTTGACTACTCTCTGATTCATGAAGTCGAGGTTCTGATGGCGCACCTGGCAAACTGTTAGGGTTGAAATACAGATGTTCCTCACAGAAGTGTAGATTATTTGGTTTATAGGTCAATCGCTTCACAAACACCGATCAATGTGAACCGTACATCTTCCCTTACTGCCCTGAGCTCGACTTTAATCTCTGGAGATCACCCCGTACCAAGCAGGTGAGATATTTGCTAAAGGTTCATACCATTCGGTAGCGGCCACTGGCCTATTTTGAAAGGAACTATAGCGCCTTCATGTCAAAGAGCGTGGCAGCCAACTCGTCGATCTTGTGCGAAATAGCATTTAGTGTGGGGCGCCAACAAGCCTGATGTTGCACATTTTGCCCCCAAATTACCGCCCTTGGCTTAATAAGAAGGTGCCAACCAGTCTTCGT